TAAATTTTAAAGCACTTGTACCCATCATTGGATTACACTGTTCATATTTAATGATCTGTACATTTTTCCACTATAAGAAACAATATATAAGTAGTTGTTAATCTGAGATAAGTAACCTGATGCTGGGTACAAGAGCACTCAAAAATATTAAGTAGAATAAATTATATATATATATTATTATTATTATATCTGTAATATATGTAATCATCTTATCATATTTTAATTGATCAATTGAATTGACAGACGATTCTGAAAATATTTGAAAGGTTTGCATTGATGGCATTGATCTTTATGTATATGTAAATGAACTTTAATCAGGAGTACATGGCATATTCATAACATAAAGATAAAGTCCAAAAATATTTTTAAAGCATTTTAATTTTAGGTTCATTTTAGAACATATTTTTATTTATTTTTCAATGTAGTTGCCATCAACCTCAATGTGTTTGATGAGCCTGGAAATGAGTTTCTTGATGCAGATGTCATAGAAATCTCCTACCTGCTGGCATAACTATGTCATTGCCACATCTTGGACCTTGTTGTTGTCATCAAACTTCTTTTCAGAGAGATGTTCCATCAACTTCAGAAAAAGTGATGTTTGCTTTGTGCGAGATATGGACTGTGCAATGGGTATTTCAAAACTTCTCACTTGAATATCTGCGACAACTTTTTTCTGACACAAACTGAGATGGGAGCTATCGTGCAGTAGGATACTATTTTGTGTTTTGCCTGTTTATAATGTCTTCGCCATAAATGGAAACAAGTTGCCAATGAATTTCAGTGGCAGTTTGTCCTTTCAGGCAAAGGAGTTGAATCATTGAACAAACTTCATACTTAGTGGGATTACAATTGACATGGCCATTTTAAACACACTGCAAGCTTAACAATGATACAATTTAAAAGGAGTGACTTATGTCATGTGACTCAGACACAGCAGTACAGAAAACTGTGAAATAATAATTTTCCTTGGATTTTGATTGGCCTTGTATCTTTACTTTCCAAATATTCTTCATGTATCTAAATATAAGCCAACTAAATTTGGATTTTTGACAAGACTATGTCTTGCTTATAAAATCGTACTGCCTGATGTTCTTACCAGCATAGAGGTATGAAGGAGTATATGTCGAGAGTTGATATTTGGCACAGAGTATTAGGTGCCCAAATCATTTGTGCATAAAAAAATCCAGACTTGTAGGTAGTCGGGGGACCGAGAATCGAGTCAAAATAAAATACAAAATGGCGACCCTCTTCTACAAACAGGCAAAACAGCCACCTCACCCCACCGAAGTCAGGTAGGGGAGAGTACCACCCACAATCATTCTAAGAAGTGAATTCTGACCTTAGGACTACACAGTTTCTTCTATGTTAAATAAAATTTGTAATCTAATTTTGTAAATTTGAAGTGCTTCATATATGACGTTAAAACGGTTTTATGTCATTACAAGTGGGCTTTTTTAACATTGTGTAGTATAGTAAAATTGTAGGATCAATAAAAATTTGACATATTAAGATTGTCGTTACATCCGATGACATTATAATCAGGTTAAACTGTATATTGTTTGTGCAAAATAAAAAAAATAATTTTGGACAATACAATAGCCACAATTATTTTTTTCAAAAACAGGAACTTTTCGTTACGCATTGACAAAAATTCAACCTGGGCCGACATGCAACGGAGAAAAATTTTAAAATTAGATAGGTTAATTTCATCGAATATGCATCATGGCCAGCGAAGTTTGAACGATTGCGCCCAAATGCAGTGATATCAAAGAAGATAGAATGAGAACGAGACCTTCCTTGAGCATCAAAGAGATTGTCCCTGAGACATAGTCGTGTCTGAAATATGGTTTTGCCTTGTTTGTATTAAATTCTATAATTTTTAAAATTGCATATATAAATTACTGATTTGTGTGTATATTTATGAGATTAGGTAGAAAAGTCCCAAAGGACAGTTGATATTTACTTGTAAAAATAAATAAATAAAATATACACAAATCAAGCTAGGTTAATTAGTTTATACTGGATAAATGCAACAAGGAACCTTAAAGTGTTTGTTTTCGGGGTTTAAGAAGTATATACAGATGCAATATTTTGAGACATTTCATCTCACATTCAGATTCAGAGTTGAGAATTAAATTTAATACAAGATGGTACAGTGGTCTACTGTATTTTTAAATTATATTGCATGTTAATTTAAACAACTAAAGTTATAGTTTAGTTATAGGATTACTATCCAGAGTTATTTGGTTAATATTTATTTTGGAATGTATTGGAAATACAGCAAACACTCAATTTAATGGACTAGTTAGAGCAAGTGGGAGTGTGTTAATGTCAAAATCCATGACATTGAACATTATCAATGAAAAGACAGTTGATGTCATTTTAAATTGTAAGGATTAAAAAATTATTTAATAAATAAATAATTCAGAAATTATAGAAAAACACTGTTTCATTATATTCTGCTTCGTGTTTGTGTGTTATTTTTACAGAAAAGAGATTCCATGTATTCCATCCCAACTCTGATTCTAACAGAACATGCTCCCATGCCAACATGGAGTAAACTTAAATTGATGAACTTGAACAGATTTTTTAATCCTTTGTTTTGACCAGCCCCCATTCTGTTCATAATGGGGCAGTTAGGTCGGAACTGACATATCCACGGCAGATCATCAAGGGAAAATACTTGGGGTTTTTCAATCAATCTGGATTCATTTTGTGTCTCCCAGATCAGTGGGCTAACACCTTATCCACTCAGCCATCCTGCTGTCAAGCTTAAATAGCAGCTGAATCAGTTTCCTGCTAATATACCACCTACTCCCCTCTGTTTCTTACTTGTTAGTCAAAATGAATGAATTCTGCAGTTTGTTAAATTGAAAGTTTACTGTATTCATTATTACCGGTAATTAAACAACAGGAAAAATTTTAATAATAAAAATATTCAAAGTTTAAGAGAAAAAATAAAAGTGTGAAATTTTATAAAATATTTTTGCTTTTTTTTAATATTTATTTATAGTTTTAAAATTTTCTTTTATAGCTGAAGCTGGAATATTACCATTTCTATCTGTGATAGCCGGACAACAGCAAATTTCAGCTTCGGCGGTAGGAGTGATATTTACTATTCTTCCTTTTATTACGCTAGCAGCAAAACCATTCTTTGGTAGTGTTGCCGATCATCTACAAAAGTTAAAACTTATGTTGATATTATTTATTATAACATTAACATTATCTTATCATTGTATGTATTATATACCAAAACTTTTTATTAAAAACGAAGAAACAAATTTAAATATTTTGCTATTTTGCAATACAATCACTTCTTATTTCACTTTAGATGATAAATATAATTTGTCGTGCTTCCATTCTGCATTGAAGAATAATTACACAGAATGCAGCATGTCCTGTCAGCCTTGTAACTACTTAAAAAATAAAACAAATATTCATAAATTTGAAAATTTTACATTATTGGACTTTGCTTTGTGCAAACAAGAACATTTACAGTATTCAGTAAGCATTGAAAATATTTCTGATGCTTTTGTTATTACAGAAGCAGCATGGAGAAGTACATCTGTAAATCCAGTATGCTTTGATGAACGACAATTTTATTGCAGTATGAAATGCAATATATCATTTACAAACTGCATCAATAATGAAGAAGTTATTTATAAAACTCCACAGTTTTGGTTATTTTTTACTTTTATTAGTGTTTCCTGGGTTTCTTCTGGTGTAATAACGTCATTATCTGATGCGGCTTGCTACGAATTACTAGATGAAAGGAACGATCTCTACGGAAAACAAAGGTTGTGGGGCACTATAGGATGGGGTGTGTTTAGTTTATTTACTGGTCTTTTAAATGATCTCATAACAGGAGATTCACCACATAAAAATTATTCTGCCAGTTTCTATATGCTCATTGCACTTGTAGTTTTAGATTTAATTATTCTAATAGATTCCAATATTAAAAATGCTAAATTTTCTGAAACCTCTTTCAAAAATGTATGTATGCTGTTTTCCCAGATTCGTATAGTTATTTTTATAACAACTGTTTTTATTATTGGGGCTCTTACGGGTCTTCAATGGTCATACTTTTTTTGGTACATGACAGATTTAAAAGCTAATCAATTAATAATGGGTTTAGCTTTAGGTGTAGAAAGCTTTCTTGGTGAATTGCCATTTTTCTTCTTTGCCGGAGAAATCATAAAAAAGTTAGGTTATGTAAACACCATCAGTCTTACTTTATTTTCTTTTTCAATACGCTATTTATTGTATTCTGTTATTAATGATCCATGGTTGGTTCTACCAGTAGAATTGTTACAAGGACCAACGTTTGGTATATTTTATGCTGCAATGACTTCATATGCAAACATGATGGCACCAGCAGGAACAGAAGCAACAATGCAAGGAATATTAGGAGGAATATTTGAAGGTTTAGGTAAGTTTTTGGATTCTCAAAAATTTTTCAAAACTTTAAATTTCTTATATTAGTTATTTGTATTGTTGAAACTCAATTATCCAAAACAGTTTTTTTAAAATAAAAAGAAACCAGAGTGTGTAGCATTGTACAAAGACTAAATTCTTCATGCCACTAGAAATTGCTTTATCATCTGTCAATTGTGGTGGTACTAAAGTACTGTAGATCACTACATAACATTACATTAGGTTTTGAGTAAAGTAATTTACCTTCATGTACAATAATTACATTATAGTATTTATTGTTTGTGAAATTTTAAATG